ATGGATGGATGGATGGATGGATGGATGGATGGATGGATGGATGGATGGTGATAAGAGTTGTATGAGCCCCCAATAAATTTTTTTTTAAGTCAATAATGAAAGTGTGTCATTCATTGCTGCTGAACACATACCCATGCCTGCACTGCAAAGACATGGCTACATCCTTCAAGTAATGTAACCATCTCGCCCTCCTTATCTGAATGGTTCTGTCTCCCTTAGCAGGAGCCCGCTCTCTCCTAAACTTCCTGTCTGACCTTTCCAGTGATTACTGTCAATTTGATCTCAGATAGACAGTTCTTCAAAAGAGCTTAATGTTGTTGTTCTTTTAAATCATTTTATTGGGGGCTCATACAACTCTTATCACAATCCATACATACATCAATTGTGTCAAGCACAGTTTTACATTCATTGCCCTCATCAATCTCAAAATATTTGCTTTCTGAGCTTAATGTTTAAGATAGTTTGCTACTACAGGAAGCTAACTTAACTGTTTAAAGAGTACGGTATTTAGGGACTAGCTCTGACTGAAGATTACAGATCATCGCAGGGCAGAAGTTCTGAGGGTTCTCAGCCACAGTGGCTTCAGAAGGTCTGAGTCCCATGAAAATTTATAAATCTGTTCTTTCCTTTAGGCTCTTTCATCCGAGTGCTCCACGATACAGCTGGGGCAGTCGAGCCCTGGTGTCACGGCAAAGGAGGGTCAAGGAGGCAATTGCCCACCATTCCCAACTCGCATTTCCAATGCTCCAGGTTCCCCCAAAGACTAGGGTAGTGGGGGAACAGGGCACTCACTAGCCCACCCATAGGGAGGGTATTGCTTATGTCTCCACAGGAAAGGGCGAGGGGACCAGATCGCAACCTGGTGCGCCAAGTCTTGAGGGCAATATACTGACCTGAATCAGAGAACTAACGGAGGTCTGCAGGGCCAGTCCCAATCCCTCCTAGAACAATGTGCTACAGAGGACAGCACTGAAGATACAGTCCGGGGAGAGCGGCAGGGCTGTCCAGACCATCCAGGAGGGGACTAAGAAGGGAAGAGAGAGAGAGAAGCCTCCTGGCCCACCAAGCTTTCAGGACTACATTCCCATTCGGAGTAGCCAATGCACAGAGAGGACTGTAGGGCCAAGCCCACCACAAGACACCACGGCCCCTCACTGACCCACAGTGCCATGGGGGACAGCCTTGATGACACAGTGCAGGAATTGTGCCCAGTCTGACCCCCCACACTAGCGCGAAACACAAAGGGAGCACAACAGAGCAGCAAGGGGAGCAAAGCAACCAAGTGCCCGAGGAACCCTAAAAACAGACGTCAGACTCGGGAGGCAGGGAGGGCTTGCATCTCATCAGACCCGATGGGAAAACATTCATGAGGATCAGCAGACAGGCCTGGAGCTATTGACAGGCTTTTTTTCTTCTTTCTTTCTTTCTCTGTCTATCTAAGATAGACAGGATAAGCAATCCTAATGAGAAAACAACAAAACCAACAGTTCCGGGGGGACACGGGAGAGGAGGCGGCTGGGGAAAAGGAGAGGGGAGTCAATAAAACTCAGGGACAAGGGAACAATAAGGGATCTAAAATCGATGGTGAGGAGGGTGCAGAACGCCTGGTGGGGTTTGATTACTGAAAGCCGAATGAAGGTCGAACATGATAGTGGGATAAGAGCAAATAGAAGAAGGAACTAGGAGGCAAAGGACATTTATAGAGGTATAAATACAGGCATATGCATATGTAAATATATTTATATATAACTATAGAGAAATAGATCTAGTACATATATTTATATGTGAAGTATTAAGGTAGCAGACAGACATCGGGACTCTACTCAAGTACTCCCTCAATGCAAGAACACTTTTTTCTAATAACCTGACATTCTGTGATGCTCACCTTCCCCACACGATCTCTGAAGACAAACGTGTGCACAAGCAAATGTCGTGAAGAAAGCTGATAGTGCCTGGCTATCAAAAGATATAGCATCTGAGGTCTTAAATGCTTGAAGATAAACAAGTGGCCATCTAGCTGAGAAGCAATGAAGCCCTCGTGGAAGAAGCACACCAGCCTGTGCAATCACAAGATGTCGACAGGATCAGGTATCAAAGATCCGAAAGAATTCTATTGAGGTGAATGAGGGGGTCGGAGTAGAGACCCAAAGCCCATCTGTAGACAATTGGACATCCCCCCACAGAAGGGTCACATGAAAGGGACAAGTCATCCAGGGTGCAGCATAGCACCTACGAAACACACAACATTCCTCTAGATCTTTAATGCTTCCCCCATGCACACACAAACACACAAACATTACCATGACCCTAGTTCTACCTCACAAATCTGTCTAGACTGGAGTATGTACATTGGTAAAGATAACGGCTTTCGACACACAGAACCTAGAACCGATAAAACCCTCAGAAACAGTAATGAGGGTAGCGGTGCCATGAGGGTGAGGGAAGATGGGGAGAAAAGTGGCAGAAAGGGGGAAGCAATCGCAATGATTGACATTCACCCCACCCCCCATGAGGACGAATAGCAGAAACGTGGGTAAAAGGAGACAGTAGACAGTGTAAGCCATGAAAATAATAATAATATATAATTTATCAAGGGCTCACAGAGGTAGGAGGATGGGAGAGGGAGGGAGGGGACAAAAGAGGGACTGATACCAAGAGCTCAAGTAGAAAGAAATGTTTTGAAAATGACGATGGTAACAATTGTACAAGTGTGCTTGGTACAATTGATGCATGATTGTTGTAAGAGCTGTAAGTGCTCCCAATAAAATTATAGAAAAAAAGAAAAACCAAATGGTGTGCCTTAGCTGGCTGCAGCTTGCACGCTTTGTAAGACCCCAGGCACAAGTGACAGGAAAGCAAACAGACCCCTACAAAGAACTATCTGCACACATCGATGGCGGTTCCAGTGAAGCCCGCTGACCATCCTGGAGGACGCGACAGCCTGCTGGCAGACTCAGAATACTGTACAGTGCGCCTTATGACCGAGGTCGTTAGACCAAACCGTAGTACCATTTGATCTCCCTTCTGACGCATTCTAAAGTGGTTTCCTTTGTTAAAAAGGTGAAGTGAAAGGGAAATGCACGTGGATCAAGCCTCTGGTGACCCTCCGACCAGAGGCCAGGGAGGTGACTCACCTTGCTATCACCCACAATGCACTACAAAGTGTATCTTTACAGATGCTGTTAGGTTAAAATTTGGCATCTTATCATTTGATCTCTTTTGATCCATGTTATTAGTCTAAAATTTTTAAAACATTTAAAAATACTTTTTCTAGTTTTTAATTTTTCACATTTTGTTATCTTTTCAACTTGTGTATTTTTAACAAAAATATACAAAGGGGCTTCAATAATTTTGTGGGGAAATTCCACTATCCTTTAATTCCACTCCCAATTACTTTTGGAAACGCTCTCACACACCGTCCCACAAGGGTAGTTATTTCTCAGGGTCTGGCTTCCACAGTGACTCTCCAGTCTGCTCAAAACTGCTCATGCATCCCAGTACTCTGGCCATATTGAAGTACTCAACATTACTCTCATACATCCCAGTACTCTGGCCATCTTCTAGTACTCAACATTACTCCCATACATTCCAGTACTCTGGCCATCTTCTAGTACTCAAGATTACTCTCATGCATCCCAGTACTCTGGTCATCGTCTAGTACTCAACATTACTCCCATACATTCCAGTACTCTGGCCATCTTCTAGTATTCAACATTACTCCCATACATTCCAGTACTCTGGCCATCTT